GGTTTCACCCTTTTGGTTCTGTAGCTTGACAGAGAGGAAGGTGTCCCTGGTAGGTACGAGGCCCGCACCTAGCCTTCGTAGGTCCTGGGACACAGAGGGAGATCATGGGCTCGAATTCAGGTGAGAGCCATGAGGTAACATTTTAAATAAAGACAAGGTCATTAACGTTGCTGAGTGAGCTGTATTAGAGCTTGACGTGAAAGGAAAAATTAATAACTAATCTTGATTTTATTAAAAATTTTTGATGCTTTGTTCATCATGACTTTTTTGCATTAATTTTTTACTTTTTAACATATTACATTAAGTATTTACTTATCTTGGTCACTGAGTTTTCCTTACTCCCTTATATTTTGCACCTGCAGTGGGTATGTCCTCACTCCTCTGACCCTAGTCGCATCCCTGCCCTGGGCCTGCAGGTGGGTGTGCCCATAGGGACACTGTCTGCCCTTGCTGCAGAGGGGCCCAGGGCTGGTAGCAGGGAGTTCCAGGGCCTGCACTGTGTGACGGTGGGTGCGGGTCACAGGTGGGTACATGTGCTTGGATCTGGGCACAGATTCCACAGTGGGCCCGGGACTGGTAGGGCAGGAAGTTCCAGGGCCTGGGCTGTGTGAAGGCGGGTGCGGGTCACAGGTGGGCACATGTGCTTGGTCTGTCCCCTTGCCCGTGGAGAGGAATGTGGTTGGAGGAGGGCCGAAGCACAGCTCTATGGAGCTGGTGAGCCTCCTGGAGGGGTTGTGGAGAGACAGATGGCTCAGATTCTGACTTTCTAAGTCTGGGGTGGGGGCCAGGATTCTTCAACTCTAATAAGTTAGCTGGTGCTTCTGCTTCTGGACCATGGGGCTGGACCAGAGCCCTTGCTCTGAAGCTCAAGGTACAGAGTAGGGTCCTCTTGCCTGGGTCGGAGCTGCTGTGAGACCCCTTGATGGGTTTCTGTGCATGGGGAATTGGGAGGGATCCTTCATGCATCCTTCATGAGACTTAACTTTGGATTTAAGTCCAGAAGATCCAGAATGTACCTTTCAAGGCGGAGATTGCATACTTTTCTGCTCTCCTGGCCAGTCTTTTTATTTGTCACTGTTATTAATGGCACTTTCTCCAGGATGCTGAGTGCTTGCTTTAGACTCAGCGTGAATCATTGCTATAGATTTTTTTTTCCTGTAAATTTCTTACATGATATATGGAATAAGAACTACAGTATCTGATATTATACGGTATTTATTCTAAGTACCCTTAGTTTTTGTTTATAAATTTGTTTTTAAAAATAGCAAATTATTTTTTAAGAAATGCATTAAGAACTTTTAAATATATATACAAAAGAAAATAAAAATGTGTCATTAATCCTCTACCCAAATGGTCCTTGTAGATGTGTAATAGTATTGAAAGTATAAAATAAGGACAATCTTTCAACCCTTTCTGCCCTATTCTAGGTGCTTTCTTCAATTTTGATGTTTTTCTGCTGGCTAGGTGCAGTGGCTCATGCCTATAATCCTGGCAACTCTGGGAGGCCAAGATGGGCAGAATGTTTGAGCTCAGGAGTTCAAGACCAGCCTGAGCAAGAGTGAGACCCCATCTCTACTAAAAATAGAAAAAACTAGTTGGGCATTGTGGCTGATGGCTGTAGTCTCAGCTACTCTGGAAGCTGAGGCATGAAGATCGTCTGAGCCTAGGATTTTGAGGTTGCTGTGAACTGGGCTGACACCACAGCACTGAACCCCAAGGTGACAGAGAGAGACTGTCTCCAAAAAAAAAATTGATGTCTTATGATTTCTTCTAGAAAAAAATTTTTTTAAATTTATGGCTATGTCTATCCTTTCAACTTTTTTTTTTTTTTGAGACAGAGTGTCAGTATGTCACCTTTGGTACAGTGCCGTGGGATCACAGCTCACAGCAACCTCAAACTCTTGAGCTTAAGCAGTTCTCTTGCTTCAGCCTCCCAAGTAGCTGGGAGTATAGGCGCTTGCCACAATGCCTGGCTATTTTTTAGTTGCAGTTGTTATTTAGCAGGCCTGGGCCAGACTGGAACCCACCAGCCTTGGTGTATGTGGCTGGTGCCCTACTCACTGAGCTACAGGTGTGGAGCCTCTTTTAACTTTTTTTTATGTAAGAGTGATCATACCATTAATAAAGTTAGGCACTTTATTTTTTAACTTAACAATGTATCTTGGATAGGTTTCTTTATCAGCACTGAATAGTAAATCTTCTTAATGGTTCCTTCGTGGGATTCATCATTGGAGTGTCCCATTGTTTAATCCTCCAATGAAGAGCTCTTTGGTTTCCAAGAACAACCACTTTGTTTATATATCTTGTTTATATATCTTGTAAGACATTTATAAGTCCATTCACAAGAGTAATGCCAATAGCAATGTCTAGCAAGGTTACTAGACAAAGGGTATGTGCATTTTTACATTTGAAGGCACTCTCTGCCTTGCCCTCCAGAAAGTTTTGCTAATAGCTGTGATGGGAGTGCTTATTTCCCCACCCCCTTGATATTAGTAGATATTATAGAAGTAAAAAAAAATATGTATGCATATATATTATTCTTATAGCAAAAAAATAAAAAGAGAAGAATAAACTTAATAAATGTATAAGGTCTATTTGAAGAATACTTTAATATGTTCCCAAGGGACCCAAAAGAAGACTTGAATAAATCAAAGTTATGTCATCTTCTTGGATGTGAACTTGCAGCATGGCGAAAATATTCTCCCTCAGTTAAGCTATAATTTGAACATGATCCTATAAAAATATCAACAAATTTTTGGGGAGAAGGGGAAATTTGATGAGCCAATTTTCAAAGATCACTTAGAAATACAAATTAGGCAGGAAGATTCAGAAAATAGACAGGAATACAGGAAGATGCAGGAAATAGCCTAACCAGATATTAAAGCATAATATGACTAAAGTTGTTACAAGTAGTATTGTACTCAAATAGATTAATAGATCACAGTCATAAAATTAAATATATTCAGGAATAGAATATATGGTAAAGGTGACATCTCAAATCAGTGAGGAAAAATGGGTAAAACCCTACATAGGGGAAATGTTGAATTAATCTTGAATATTTAATATAGGATAAATTCTAAACAGATGAAAGATATACATGCAAAAAATAAAATGAATATTATACAAATTCATAGGAAAATTATTTTCATTATACCAGGTCTTTCTGCTATAACATGTAATTTAGAAGCCATTGAAAAGCAAGGTTGATAAATTCAGCTTTATATCAAACATTCTTCATGGCAAAATCCACCTTATGCAAACTCAAAAAGCAAGCAAATTGCAGAAAGATGTTTGCAACTGGCATCACAAATAATAACAAACTTCCTAATATATAAAGAGTTTTTACAAACCAATAGAAAAATAAAGTGTCAGTAATCCAATAGAAAACTATGGAAAGTTTATGCACAGACAGTTCACATAAAAGGAATCAGTTAAATATGAAATGTTTAATAAGAAAAAATACAAAAAACATAAGAAAAGCAATATAAATCACTGCCTTACAGGGATCATTTTTTTTTTAAACATGAAAATAGCCAGGGCATAGGGAAAGAAACACCTCTGTGTATCACTGATAGCAGGTAAATTCATCCAATTTATCTGAAAAAATCATAATGCATGTATCTTTAACCTATCAATTCCACATCTAGAAATTTATTTTTTATTATGTACTATGTGTGCACATGTGAAATCTTATAGCAATGGTAGTTTTCATTAAAGCATTATTTATAAAAGTAAATGCTTGCATAGCAATCTATGTACCTCACCCAACAGATCTGTAAAAAAGAATGAGAAAGAGCTCTGTGTACTGCCATGGAACGATCTCTGAGAAAACTGTACTGTTAAGTGATAACAATTGATAAAAAGCCAAGTGCATAATGTTATACTGACATTTGTGTAAAAGGGGAGAGAGACAGGCCTATTTACTTGATATGAATTCAGTGATTGTTAATGCATACACAAAAAAATAAATAATGTTGATTGCCTCCAGGGCAAAAACCTGGGAGGCAGGGGATAGGGCTGGGATATAGATTCTTCACTGAAAATATACATTTGTACCTTTTTTCTTTTTAACTTTTTTTTTGCTTAAAAATAACCAAATTTTAAAATAATTCAATAGGTAAAAAATATTTCTTTTCTTGATTTGTGTAGTTCTTTTTTTTTTTTTTTTTTTTTGAGACAGAGCCTCAAGCTGTCCCCCTGGGTAGAGTGCAGTGGCATTACAGCTCACAGCAACCTCCAATTCCTGGGTTCAAGCGAGTCTCCTGCCTCCGCCTCCCAAGTAGCTGGGACCACAGGCGCCCGCCACAACACCTGGCTATTTTTTGGTTGCAGCCGTCATTGTTGTTTGGTGGGTCCGGGCTGGGGATTCTAACCCGCCACCTTAGGTGTACGTGGCTGGCACCTTAGCTGGTTGAGCTATAGGCGCCGAGCCGATTTGTGTAGTTCTAATGTGAGGTCTTTTCAAATATTGATCAGCTTTTTACATTTTTTAGGCAATTATCTGTTCATATATTTTCTATTTCTACTTTTCTATTTGGGGGGTGTTGTGGGGAAGGAGGGATTGACTTCTTTGCAAATTGAGGAAATTAGCTTTTTGTCTTAAGAGTCACAGAAATTTTGTTCCAATCTGTCTTTTGACTTTGTTAATGTTGCTTTTTGACACCTAGCATTTTTATAATTTGCATATGGTCTTTTTCTTCTTTCTCTTCTCTCCCCTTTTCTCCCCCCTTCTGTCTTTCCCTTCCTTCCTTTCCTTTTCCTCCCTCCCTCCCTCCTTCTCTCTCTCTCTCTCTGTTTTGAGGAATTGGAGAAGACTTTATAATCATGGTCACTGAGAATACTGAGTCTAGATTTAAGGCATCTAATTACCAATGCCCTTAGATGAGTTGGAAATGACATTCTGTATATAAACTCTCTTTGAAGACAGTAAAGATGAGAACAAATTGGTTTGAGAGTGGTTTTGGTGCATCTCTGATGAGCTTCTCCTCTCTCCACTGCAGCGGAGCTTCCAAGGTCTTCGGCGGTGAGGCTGGCCTCCCTGCGGGATCTGCCCGCCCAGCTCCTAGAGTTATACCAGCAGGGCTTTTCTCTGGTGGCCCTGCACCCCTTCGTGCAACCCACTTACCAGCAAGAGAAGACACCACTTGAGCACATCTTTAGGGCCATCTTGATCAAGAAAACTGACAGGTAAGGCCTCTGTGGATGAATGCGTAGCACCATGTGGTGGCTAAGGTGTGTTGAATGGAGGATGGCAGGGGTGTTGACATTTGCATGCTTTTCCTGGGGCTCCTGTCTTCTGACATGTAAAGCAAAAATGTTAGACAAACAGAAGTTTCCTAGTGTCCCTCAATGAAAAGCAAATGTCATATCCAACTACGAGTGGAGAGTTCTGTTTTATATCCTTCATCTTCTCTAGTTTATTGGGTTAAACTCAGCTGGAGAAGCATCTCCTCAGAAGAAATGTACTCCCACAGTGATGCAGCTAATAAAAGTATACAGCTTTTAACCTGAAAAGCATGGCTGGAAAGCACAATAATTTTATTAAAGGTTATATACAAACTTCGTGTCTTTTTCCCAAATTCTAAAAATACTTAAAAATTTTTAACCCACCATAAATTCTGTAAGTCACTTGGGAGGAAAAGAAAATCCCATCTGAATCAAATGCTGTTACTGGTTTGGTCTTGATACAGATTTTTTGAGGCTTACCCAGTTGAATGCTTTACTACTCTTTAATATAGTTCAGTTGGGCTTAATTAAGAAAACAGAGGTGGGGTTGGTCTTTCGAAAGAAGCAATATTATTACTTTTTTTGAGACAGAGTCTCAGTCTATTGCCCAGGCTAGAGTGCAATGGCATCATCATAGCTCACTGAAGCCTTGAACTCCTGAGCTCAATTGATCCTTCTGCCTCAGCCTCCGAAGAAGCTGGGACTACTGGTATATGCCACCATAACTGGCTGATTTTTCTGTTTTTTGTAGAGACAGAGTCTTGCTATTGCTCAGGCTAGTCTTGACCCCCTGGCCTCTAGTGATCCTCCTGCCTTGACCTCTCAAAGTGCTAGGATTAGAGGTATGAGCTACCATGCTCAGCCTAAAGTAATATTAACTTGAAAATTTTTTTTTAAATGATGAGAATGGGATGGAGAGTGCAATATGTTTTTGCTGCTTTCATAAAAATAAACGTTAAAATAAAGTCTGGAAGAGGAAATCCGATTTGTCCTCTGGCCAACTAGCATAGACGGAAGAATAACATGTGCCACATTAAAGGCAGGAAGAGCCTGTAGGGCGCCCGCTCCTCTTTCTCATTTTAAAAGTCACTTTGCAGGTAGACAAAGTATTAGGCTGATGTGCTCACAAGGGACAGCTGTGAGGCGTGAGGTTGCGTGACTGCGACTGACTTCTCTTTCCTTTATTTCTTCATGGTTAGTCAAGCTCTGCGGCTCTCAGTTCACATCAACATGCATTAGAATTTGAAGTGAAATGTTGTGCATGTCTTTGCTCACATCCAGAATTAACACGTTTTTGGTAGAGTGAACCTTTTCTCAGCATCTGCCTTTTCTACATAGTTATATCTCTGTTTTGATTGGCTGTGGATCAATATCTGGGTCAATGGCAAGAGGCAACTCTTCTGGGGGCTGTGGTGTTTTTAGTTAGACTGACACACAGGGTATGTGTAACGATGATCACTCGTATTTATTGAGCACTTACTGCACTCCGGGCTTGGTACAAGGATAAAGATGAGTATCATTTTATCCTTATCAGCCTTCAAAATAAGTGGAATTTGTATTTCCATTTTGCAGGTGAGGGAACTGAGGCACAGACGCTGAGTAGTCAAGGTTGCACAGATGGCGGCAGGCAGGCCTTTGACTTGCTCCCAGGAAGGCTGACTCCATTACTTGCACTCTGAACCCTGGCGTGCAGCACCCACTGTGCTCCTGTACCCACAGTTCTCAGGGAGAACCGCTTATGAAGAAAGTGGAGGAGAGGGTGTCTTTGATCTTAGATGAGGTAGTACTTTTTCAGCATACCTTTCCCGGTTTTACCTCTCAACAGTTTTCAAATAAATCAGAATTCCAAAAAGAAAACGAAACTGACTTACCAAGTGCTGCGTAGATCACTGGAGGCATCTGCTGGGCTCCCGAGCTTCTCTTCCATAGATTATTCTTCTGGCCTTCGTGTTTAGAGGAGACCACTTTGGGTCAGATCACAGCGTATCCTTTGGTGTCATCTGCTATAGGAGGTGATGTCAGCATAGGGCTTGGAATGAGATCAACTCAAAAAGTGAAGATCTACCCTTTTTTCCCTTGCTGTGGAGCAGCACTTCTTGAAGTTTAACCCTTTCCCGGGCAACTTCTCTGCCACCTGCATATTCCCCTAGCTCTTATTTATTTGGGGTGGGAAAGAGGTTGGTGGATTACTTGTAGTTATCTTTCAATTTTAAAACAGAAAAACATAAATGAACTCACCTGACAATTTTATTATCTATTTTAGGTTCTATAAAACAATTAAAGTGGTTCGGTGCCTATAGCTTAGTGGCTAGGGCCCTGGCCACATATACCAGGGTTGGCAGGTTTGAACCTGGCTTGGGCCTGCCAACAACGACAACTTACAACCAAAAATAAACAGGAGTTGTGGCAAGTGCCTGTAGTCCTAGCTACTTGGGAGGCTGAGGCAAGAGAATCACTTAAGACCAAGAGTTTGAGGTCTTGACGCTACAGCACTCTACTGAGGGCAACGTAGTAAGATTCTGTCTCAAAACAAACAAACAATACAAAACAAAACCAATTAAAGTGTTTTTGTTTATTTGTGAGAGCAATACTTTTTTTTTTTTTTGCAGTTTTGGCTGGGGCTGGGCTTAAACCCACCATCCCTGGTATATGGGGCCGGCACCCTACTCCTTGAGCCATAGGCGCTGCCTGAGAGTGATAACTTTTGATGCAATCTCCAGGATGAAGTCTTGTGGGTTGCACAGTATAAAATGGTTTCTCTCCGCATCTTTCTCATTTCTTCTGCTGCAAACGATGCATTCCTTTGTTGATTTTTTTTAAGTTTTCATTATAAAATGGATCCTCCCATTTAGCTTTTCCTCAGCATCAGAAAATGATAGTCTTCCTCTCTTTCTTGAATTTCTGTTCCTTACATTGCTCACAAGCTGGGTGATGACATTTCTCTTGTAAGAAAGGTGTGTTGGTACTTTTTTTCCAGTGGAGCAGGTGAACAAACACAATTAAAAGAAAAAAAAACCAACATGTAAGATGTCTTCTGACATAGGATCAGAAATTATTTTAATGCATCCTGGGGATGTTGTTAAAGACCAGTGCCTGATTCAGCAGGTCTGGGGGGAGGTCTGGGACTCTGCATTCTTAACATGTTTCTACCCGAGGCAGACGCCACTGTTCTGTGGACCACACTTTGTGTAACAAGGGTATAGAGGGACCAGATTCTTGTCTGGCTCCATGCCTGGCACTCAGCAGTGTTGTTGAGATCACAGCTTGATTCCCAGGGGGAGCTTTAAGTCCTAGGAATGTTGAGGAAGAACGGCACTCCTGGTTGGAAGGGCCTGTGTTCCAGGCTGCACTTAGCTGCTAGTGAGGGGAGAGGGCACATCGGTGGATTTTTCCTGGGCCTCTATTTTCTAGTGGTGCACTGAGGGGTTGGGCCTATGTGATTTGTAAGACCTGTACCAACCCTAAGTTACCTTATGGGATGAGATGGGTAAGGACACTCTTCTGCAGAAATAAGAACCTCCACTTCAGAGGAAGGTTCATTACAAGCCAGCAACGGGGCTGGGAGGTTAAATAGGGCTTCTTTACTTTTACTTTGGTCAGGGCACACGCAAGTGAGCTTACTTTCCGGAAGAGAAAACTGAGTCAAGCCCCTGAGAAGCGTAAGACAGTGGTGTGGAGGAGGGTTTTTAAGAAAGAGAAGATGAACGTTCCAACTCTTTGATAAGCAAATTCAGAGAAATCCTTCACTTAACTTTGTGATGGGTCCTTGGAACTACTTTTTTTGGGGGGGGTGGGAGGGGGATAAAGAAAGCTGCAAAAGCTTGGTAATTTACTGTGTGAAATAAGGCAAAAATGACCAGGAAACTGTCTCCCACTTCCATCCCCAGTCGTACTGGGTAGGGGAATGGTGGTGCTTGGAAGCAGGGTCATTATAAAATGTAATTTTAAAGTATAGGTATTTTCTCTCCTAGCACTTGCCATAACCATATCTTTTTGCATCATGAGGAAAAGACCCTCATGCTCTTAAAAATAAACAAAAAAAAAAAACCCTCACAACTTTTTCTGTATCATCAGGGAGTTTTTAAGTAGTAAAAATAAAACAAAGGAAGCCTTATACGATTAATTTTTAATACAACAGTTAAAGTGATATTTTCTATAAAGTCTGCCAGAGTTCTGACAGCTTATAGATAATTGTTAAGAGAAATGACTTAGCTTTTAAAAAAGAAGTAAATGCCTGGTTAATATTTTTCAAGTAAAGCACATTGAAAGAAGCTTAGATGCTCTTTCTAGATTTCTATCTATCCAAACCAAGTTCCTTAGCAGGAATCATCATGGGATGACTGCTTGAAACGAATAACCAACTTAATGTGCTTGAAAGGTGAACATAAAGGTTTTAGCAAATAACTGGGCTTTGGGCTCTGGGCAGAGAGACCAGGAAAAAGAACAGAACCATTCGAGTGTGTATTTGTGTGTTCATTCATTCTTTCACAAATACTTGCTGAGCTTGTACTCTTTTCAAGGAATTGTGCTAGGGGCTGCCCTGTGGGAGGGTAGAGAGCACAGGTGCAGGGCTCAATTGGACATGGAGCCTGCCTTAACCATGTAACAGAAAATAGGATATGTACATGTATCTTACGTATGTGTATCCTATCCATTTGAAAGCAAACCAGAGAAATGTTTCAGAAGGAAGGAGCTTTTAACTTGGGCCTGATTTCCTTTGGGAAAACAGGAATAATGAGCATGAGGTGGGAAGACTTTATTTAAGCCTTCTAATGAAATGTTTTCTAGTGGTGTTTGAGTAATTTGAGAGTATCCTTGATGGTCTGAATTATTAATGAGTCATTCCAAAAGCAGTATTCAGTACAATAATGTTCCATGGAGCTCTCTACCATTTCGACAAATTTCACTTAAATCCATGAAAAATTACCTGATCTTTTCTTTTGAAATTTCTGATAACTGCC